GCTGTAGAGAAGAGCTCAGAAAAATGACTCCTAGTGGGCGGGGGGCAGGTGCAGCTGAGGGAGACAAGGGATTCGACGCCCTAGCAGCTAGGATTCAGGGACAGCAGTAATACTGTCCTCTGCCCCCCACTTCCCCCTACACCTCCCATTGTGTTTTTACTGCAAAACTAGATTAGGGAGTGCCCTGTTGAAAACATTAATTGCAGTGTAGGTATGGGAGTTAGATTACTCATTACTTTTGTGCAAGTCTAGCTCAGTTTTAAAAATCATGTTTTCCTTTGGCAGCACAGCTTAGCATTATTTGTCTACTAAAGAGTAAAGGAACAGGGATGTTATAACATATCCTGTGGAATATTTGAACTTGTTTTCAGTGTGTTAACTTCACCTATCTTGCTAACACATACAAAATGGGTGGTACTTGCCCTAGATTTTTCCAATATATTAAGGATTTAAGCTAACATTTAGGGAAGAAGGGGGAAACTACCTGTTATCATGCACTTGCCCACATGCAGGATGATACTGTTTTTACTCATCTTAAACCAATGCAAAAGGCTCTGAGTTCAATTTGAACCAAGATTCCTGTGGTTTACTATAAATGGATTAAAAAAAAAGGGTCAAACAAAATCCCTCAAAGCAAGATAAAGGTGTTGACAGATGGGTTTAACTAAACCCCACTGCTATATAGCCAAAGCCTTAAATCAGAAAAGCACTTAGGCCATATCCATCCTCACACCATCAGGAACATATGAAACAATCCAAACACTGCATCCCAAAGCTAGGCTCTGGTGCTTGTTAAAGCAAATATAGGTGCACACCCAAGATAGGGGATTAGAAATCCATTATAGGAAAGGTAGTTTTGAACCATTCTTATTATAGAAGCTTCCCATGCAAAAACATCTGTGTAAAATGGGATGGGACTCAAACTTCCTACATTCTAATTTTCACAATCAAGTTTACACCTAACCCCTCTTGTGCTGCTTGTAATAATGTTTCTTACCAAAGCTTAAGTGACAGGAGAGTCAGTGTACCTGCATCTCACTGTTAGCATCAAAGCAGAAATTCATAAAGAGACCATCATTCTTAGTTCAGCAATCATAGTAAGAATAAATTCTCTTGGATCACAAACTGCATATTCACTTAATGCCAACTGAAGATGAAAAAATCCAACTAACATGCCTGTATTTAATACTCAATGGGTCAACTTTCCCTTCTGAACAATTTCAGGACTCTAGAATGGTACCTGATACAGGCCAAACAAAAACAAAGCTAGAGCAAATACAACCACCAAACTTCCTCCTCCTTTCTCTCCATTCCTCAACAGGTTAAGTAGACATAGTTACTATAATGTACACTAACTATAAAAACTGTGTACATGAACAAAACAAAATTTGTACATGCACCAAATTTTAAGTATTAATATTCATTTACCAGCAGAGCAGTTTTGGAGTTGTTTGCAAGAATTACTAAAATCCCACTTTAGCGCGCAACTTCAAAATATCACCATGTTTTCACTAAGTGACATTTTGCTGCAGAAATACCTTCATCTTACTCAAGAAAATTTTATTTGTACAAGAAAATACATGTTTTATTTAAATAATTGCTGATCTGGATCTTCTTGTATAAAAATAAATTCCTCCAAAGGATTCTGATGGTTCGCTGGCCAACAGCTTCTCTGACATGTGTAAATTATAACTGTTCCAAATTCCACTGATAGATCTGAAAAAAGGGTAATATTTTGGTTAACATATTAAAAAGCATTCACAAAAAGTATAAGCAGCATGAAAATGCCTAGTTACATACTAATTGGACATTTGTTCATATGCATATTCTAAAAAAAAGGGAGCACTTTCTGTACAGATAATTAAAATATCTATTTATAGTGGGGCATATAGGTAGATTAGTACAATTTTAAACAACTGTGGGATGCTAATTTTTGTCCCAAACTGGAAAACATTGATACATATACTCCACTATACATATAAGAAGTCTTGCTGTGTTAAGCTTATGGGGTAAGTTGGCTGCACCAACTGGTTACTCACATACCTAAAAGGTAAGCAAATGTGTGTTTATGGGGTACTGGATTTAATTGAGTAAGTTTCTGGATCTCAAAAAGTTATATTTAAACTCAGAAGTTCTTTGGCATTTAAAAAAATCTAATCTAAAACCCAGATACAACTTCATTCAGGATTTCAAATATTAATGTTAGACTAAGATTATTCAGTATCTAAAGGAAAGATGGACTCCAGAAGTCAAAAGAGGTTTGGTTAAAATTGATTTATGTCTAAGGAAAAACTATATAGTTTTGATTACAACCATGCTTCACAAAAAACTTAATTTGAATGTTATCATTCTGTAATACATATATACTCAGTATCTCTATCATATGCCCCCAAACAATTTTCTAATATGAGAATAGGTATTTCATTATCCACCTCATGTACACATCACACACTAATTTAGAAATTAGATTGTTACAATTACAGTAACAAAAGTTATACAATTTAGACAGAAGTGTGATTTTTAAATGGTCAACTCAATTTCATTCAAAGAAAGAACTTTAAGCAGGTCTTGAGTGTACTACCTTAAAGTGTATTGCAAAAAAAAAAAAAAAAAAAAAAAACCTAGGATCAAATTCTGTTTTCCCATATTTGTGGGAACCACTGTAGCTTCAGCAAGGCTGAATGGATGTACCAAAATATAGTTCAGTATGTATTTGGGAAATCACAATCCCATTTTTTCTGGGACATCTTTATCATAATCCATATCATGGAAAATTGGTTCCAATGAAGCCTAGATTCAGTGTTCTGAATTACATACATTTTGATATAGATATAATAAAACCATGATTTATTTAGTAACTAAACCCTCCTCACCTGAAACACTTGAATTGTATGGCTTCTCTACATTTGCTGTGTTGCTGTAGAGCTTAGTGAAGATGCTACCGACAGAAGAGCTTCTCCTGCCAGCACAGGTACTCCCAGAGGCAATAATTACATTGATGGGAGAGGCTTCTCCCATCAACATTAGCACTGTTTATACTGGAAGTTTTAATAGCAATAACTATTGCTCCGGGGTGTGGATTTTCTACACTTAGGAGTGACGAAGTTATACTGACATAAATTAGTCGTGTAGACTAGAGTTTAGTTTCCTAAGCAGACACTGAGTACTTGGTCACTTCAAAGTTTTAAAGGAAACCTTCTGAGATTTTTTTAAACAAAAACAAAACAAAGCTTCTTGTTTGGGATTCCAATCTTATTTAAAGGCATTAATTCAGTTTAGAATATAGGTTGGACTTCCTGGTCCAGCACCCTCAGGAATTTTCGGGATCAGGGGAGGTCCCCTGCCACCGGCCTCTCAGGACACTGCCCCTCCTTCCTACTGACTCTGTTCCCGACCTGCTGCTGCAAAGGGCTTGAAGCTTGGCTCCGGCCCGTTTCTGCCAGCTGGCTGGGGCTCTCCAGGAATGGAGATCCCCAGCTGCTGTGGCCCTGCTTTTGTCCCACCTGGCCAGGGCTTCCCAGGGACAGGGATGCCCTGCCAGGGCCCCATGGGACTGGCAAACTCCAGATGGTGGAGCTCTTATTGCTGGACTCCTCACCAACTCACCCTCCTGGGCAGCAGGGCTCTGTCCAGCAACAGCCATAATCCTGCTGGACCAGAGAGTCCTGGATTTAGGAGGTTCAACCTGTAGTATGTCAGGTTGATTACTCTTCAGGGGCAAGGAATTTTCTAGCCTTCTCTTATTAGGAAGGCCTGAAAGAAAATATGAGGCTTTGATCAGACAGTTCCA